AATTAGTGCTTGCAGAATGCCCGCAGCTTTATAGAGATTTATTAGGAATATGGGATAATACTGGTTTACGTGAAATTAATTACTCTAAATCCTTGACACATCAAGCAGTATAGAAGTACATTAGAAAAAGAAATTTTGTATACATGATGACAGTGCTTGCCTAAAATCCTTAGGATCAACAGCAAACTGTTAAAGTTACCACTGCATTGAAGAAGTAACTGGTGCACTGGTAACATTTCAGAAGACTGTATTTTGGAACTGTGTTACTAAATTATTATTATTGTGCCACTTAACATTCCAAAAAGAAAACTTTATTAACAAATACCAATCGATAATGTAGTTGGTTTGAAYGACCTTTTGTTATGTGCAAAATTTGCTCTGCCCACATTGTCTTAAATCACACTGGCCTGTTTTTGTTTTATAAAAGTTATTGCCATATAATCTAAACCTGGAAAATGAAAACTGTACTCCTGTCAAATACATTATTGGACAGTCAGTTGCAGATTAGTCCTTCTTTCCAGCTTAAAGCAGATAAGGTAAGTAGCTCAGCATGAAAGTAGCTTTTAAAAGTTCATTGATGTTCCCAGAGTTTTCCTTCCTGGTTTTTGTTAGGAGTTTTTCAAATGAACTTGAACTTGTTGGTGATTTGTGAAAAATTGCAAGGCTTGTACTTGAAGCTGTGGTGTTTGTTACTCACTGCTGCAATCAGAACAGTCCAGCTCAAAAGAGAGCAGGTGCTTCCATCTGTGAGCCCTTTGCTCACCTGGCAGTCATCATACAGAGCACCTGGAGGAGAACAGTTTACATTTCGTTTATGTGTAAAGCCATTGCTCTGTCAGGTGCAAAACCTCTCAAAGCCAGTGAGGTTTGGGTATGGCAGTGCTCTCTTGAGAAGCCTGAACACTTCCAGTGCTGGTAGCTTTTTCCATGCTAACAACTGGGAGCAAAGCTCCAGGAGCAGCTTCTCCAAAGCCTAGTTTCTCGTCTCTGTCTAGGAAAATATATATTCTTCCCCCAGATGCAAAGCATTTAAGATGAAGGGCAGGCTCCAAAAATAAAAAAAAAAAAAAAAAAAAAAAAAAAGAAAAAAGAAAAAAGAAAAATTTCCTGTGGGTGTACATAGGAAGAAGTACACATTGCTGGCATTTGAAACTTTTGGTTTTGTTCATTTTTTGCTCCGATTAATTACCTTGTCCTCCATTCCTGACCAAATTCTTTATTGGATATCCCAGTGCAAAATCAAATTTCACACCACGAACATGGTGCTTTGCCTACTTTTTTTTTTTTTTTTTTGTAGGATGCTACTGAAAAAACACATTGCTATTCAATGTGTAACAATGCTGCTCTTGGCATTCACAACACCTCTTTGAATTGAGTCACAAAATTCATTATTCACATTTTAAAGATTCTTCTGGCTAAGGAAATCAGTAGCTGACAGAGGTGTGTGTGTTTGGGCAAAGCACTGGTCAGATCGATTCAAACTACATTGTCAACTCCGAGGATCTGGAGCACTTTCTGAGGTTTCAAGTAAATCCCCTGCATAACCAGAAAAAAAAAAAAAAAATGGTATCTGAATCCAACAGTGCATCTTCCAACAGAGCGCTGAGCTGTCACTCACTGCGGGGTGCAGTTATGAGAGGATTTTGATGTTACCAGATTCACAGATGATCTCTTGAGCCTAAGACCCCGATAAAAAAAAAAAAAAAAGGGGGAGCCGCCTGTGTGTGAGGGCGAGCTCCATCCCCTGCGGCTTCAGAAGCAGCTCAGGCACAAAACCGAAATTTCTCATAGGCAGCATCTCCCGAGGATTTTCGCTCGCTGCCTTTCTCCAGCGCCCCTCAATTACTGATCTTAGAGGGAACTTAGCTCTGCCTTGCCCGCAGCCAGCGGGTCGGTKCAGGGAGCTCCCTCCCTCCATCCCGACGGAGATTCCCCGCTGGATGCGGTATGGGAAGCGCCCGGCCCCGGCAGCTCCTCCCGCAYCCCCCGCCCCTTGGTGCCGCGTAAATAAGTACGAGTCGGCCGCTCTCCCTGCTGCCGGGGGGCTTGTCGTGGAGCGRCCCCGGATTCCCTTCCTCGGCCCCTTCACCGAGGTCGGGGTCGCAGGGGGCAGCGAGCTCCTGGTRCGGTGCTTTCCTCGTAGGGACACAGACTGCTGGAAACCGAGGAAAGTTACTCGATTAAAGGATTTTCTGTGGCTTCGGCTGCTCTTCTCTAATGTATGCAGAATAAAGGGTCGCGGGTGTATATATGTGTATATATATGTGTGTAAGTATTTGAGCCGGAGCTAAACCCTGCCTAGTTTAGGGATCGGTAGGCGAGCGCGTTCCGGAGCCCGRAGCGCTGTGCCCCACGGCCGGGGTGCCGGCTTCAGCCGTCCGGAGGAGTTTTGACGCCTCTCGGCCCGAGCCAGCGGCTGGGTTTTTTTTTCCCCTGAAAGGCTGGGAATGCTTTAGCAGATTAACGACTCCCGTAATCCCGCGGGCGCCGGGTGCCGGCCTGGTTTGAGGTCAGAGAGGGGGCTGCGTGCGGCCGGGGGGCCGCTCCGGCCGGCGGGCCCTCCTCCCCGCGCCGCGCAGGGCCGGGGGAGCCGGGCGCCCGCCGCCGCCCCCGCTG